TGTCTCCGCCCGCCGCAGGAAGCGTTCTGGACCAGAGCCTGGAGAGCCTGCTGCACCGCCTGCGCGGGCTGTGCGACAACATGGAGCCCGAGACCTTCCTGGACCACGAGAAAAAAAAAGGGGCAGCAGGCCAGCCCCTTCGTGCTGCGGGCGCGGCGCTCCATGGACAAGAGCGGCATGCCCTGGCACCTGCGCTACCTGGGCCAGCCCGAGATCGGGGACAAGAACCGCCACGCGCTCGTGCGCAACTGCGTCGACATCGCGACTTCGGACAACCTGACGGACTTCCTGGTGGAGATGGGCTTCCGCATGGACCACGAGTTTGTGGCCAAAGGGCACGTGTTCCGTAAGGGCATTATGAAGATCGTGGTGTACAAGATCTTCCGCATCCTAATGCCAGGAAACACGGAGAGCATTGAGCCTCTCTCCCTCTCCTACCTGGTGGAGCTCAACGTGGTGGCACCAGCAGGACAGGACGTTGTTTCTGATGACATGAGGAACTTTGCTGAGCAACTGAAGCCTCTAGTTCACCTGGAAAAAATTGACCCCAAAAGGCTGATGTGACTGAAAAGCTGGGCAGTTAAGGCATAGGTTTTGTTAGTGTTCCTGAAGAAGGGTGTTTTTCTAGAAAGCCGTTTGATGGCAAATCAAAACAGGGAGAGGGGAGTAAAGGACTACAAACCAGTGTTTTGTCAACCACAGTTACTGAGTGTTTTTTCCTTCACTTGTGGGTGTGAACAAAAGCGGACACTTCTTTAAATTAATGCCATTCTAAACATCAATAAATGCTCATATTGGTAGTTTTCCTTCTCCTGTTGGGGAGGTATCTGTTAGAAAGCATGTTGTCTAGCAATCCAAAAACATCAGACTTACTGGAATTCATCCTTCTGTGTACCCACATCCCCGTGCTGCTTGCTTTCTTTTTTTTTTTTTTTTTTTTTAAAAAAAAAAGCACCATTCATGTATCCTACCTAGTGATTCTTTTAAGTGTACACGGAGTTAATATCCTTTATTGCAGGAGGTGTTGTTTATCACAAGCATAAAGCCAGGAACTGCACTGTACACCTGTTTACAATGGAATAGTGAATGGTGTATGTAACAGGAACAGCTATGACACCAGATACTTCAGTGAAACTGTTTCAGATGTAACCAAAGTTAGAACTGGAAAACAACTTAGCAGTATTAAAATTGCAAGAGGTTTTCAAATCTTTTAATGCTGTTCCATCTTGTTCACTGAAGTTGGGTACAGCAGTCTTAGTTAATGAGAAAGCCATACACTACACGGGTTGTTTTATTATTAGACTTCTCACAACTGACAGCAATATTAAAAATTGACATATTAAACAATTAAGAGCATCATACAGCTGCTAACTGAACTAGTGATGATTTTGTTTAGCACCTCTCTTGATAGTAGGATGGTTAGTTGCCCTCCATGTGTTTCAATATTTGAATTAATTTTGGGAGTTTTCAAATACAGTTCAAACAAACAAAAACAATAAAGACACTTATTTAAATTTCTCACCTGTCAAGAGACATTGCCTTTGGCACCACACAACCCCCTATGTAACAACTAAAAGCAAAAACCACTCCCACAAAAAGCTTCAAAAAAATCCTTTCAAGTTAACAGCTACATTTTCAACACTGGAGTTTGGACAAGATAAGCCATGACAAGTGGATGAGTGCTTACCGATCAGTGCAGCATCCTCAAGTGTTCCACTGATGCAGGCCCTACCTAGGGGGTGTGGGGACAACCCAGTACTTGAGCACAGCTGGAGATCACCATGATGCTGAACACGTAACAGTGATTTCCAACAGAGCACAACCTAGGCTTGAAATATTTTCTGGAGGGTACAAACACTACCTACAGTTCTTTTGTTCATACTGAGGCATGACTCACCCTTATCAGACAGTGTGCTTATCCTGGGCCTCCAAGTCTGGAATTCTTTAGGGTACTGTTACAGGGCATAGCTTCCCCGGGGGAGGGGGGAGAGGTCCCTGAGCTCTGCCTGTACCGGGGAGCCGCACTTGCTGCCTCACTCTGTGATTCATTTCCAGTCCCACCCTCAGGGCTGTTGTCGTATCCTGCCACTAAACACTGGTTAGGAATCATGTGCCACAGGCTTCCACCATCCATGGCTTGCCTCAACTGAGACGAAATTTTAGAAAGATGACCAGCGGATCAGAAAAGTCAAAGATTGTATGTCAGCTTTTCCAAGGGCAGGTACTTGTAAGTACAAAAACACACAGGAAACACTAAGTACACAGGTCCTTCCTGTTGCATCTGAAAGGAACTCACTTGGTAACTTACCTTCTGAGCTTCCTTCTAAGGCGATGGGCAAACAAATCAGAGTGCTGATGTTCATGTTATGGCTATAGAGAGAAAATCCCACATGGGGTTTCAGGCAGACCAGCTCAAGCAAAAGGAGACTGAATGGAAAGTTCATAACTGAAGTTTTTACACCTTAGATGACAATAGGTCTGGCTACTGCTTGGTCTAAGTTCTCAAGAATAAAAATGATCATTTAAAATATATTTTTAAGGAGAGTTAGTTTAAACCTTGAAAATTGCAGTGATCTACATTACCAACCTTCCTTATTCCAGCTGTAGTGTATGCATAGAAGAGGTGTGCAGAGATAAAAGCTTACTGCATCAATGATTACAGCTGTAGAGAAATGGACCCTTTTCAGGCACCTCATGCTCAAAGTGCATCTCCTTCTTTTATCTAATGAAATACACTTTTCTCCTATGAAGCTTAACTTTTATAGCTGGAGACTAAAGAGAATAGCAATACTATTAGTAATACACACTGGTAAATTGCATGGCACAACCCCAGCTAGTTATCGTTCGTTATCTCTAGGGTCAAATTATATTGTAGTTATACAGATGGCTACAGAAGCGCTCAACCTCTCCTTACTGGAAAGCAGGCATTTTTACAAGTTTTTAAATTGCACTTAATAGGAACAAGAATGTGACTATTATTTTTATTTTATTTTGGGGGATTTCTTTTTGCCAACTAAAATAGCTTAATTCTTTAAGGGCAAGGCTTACCTCAGGACTCTGTATTTGTTGCAATATATTACCTGAGGCTCGATGCAGCTGAGCTTAAGTTTTCTTTCCATGCAAGTAATCCCTTCTGTTACTTCAAACTGTTCCTCCAGTCTTGCACACTTGTAAAGTTTCTCTAACTTTATTGACTACTACATAAAAAGTAGAAATCCCTGCATAACGAGTAAAGGTAGGATTGTTATTGATCCATTATCCACCAGCTATGTCTGCTACTAAGAAAGCTTGGTCTACAGAAGCTCATCTCAGTTCTTAAAAATTCTTCATACTTTAGAAAAAGCCACAAGTTTATCCTCTGGCTCTCTGTACTGGATCTCTATTCTTCCTGTGGACACTTCCATAATGTTAATTCTGTACAAATGAAGAACTGAAATACCTCAGAAGTGCTCTATATTGCACTGTACAGAAACATCTCTTAACATGCCTCTGATATGCTAGCACAAAATGAGCTTTTCGATACATAAACTCGTGGCATTCAAATTTTCATCTCAGTAGCCTCAGTAATACAAACTGCTTTCCTGTTAGATGTTTTCCATACACTGTAATATTGTATATAACTTTATCCATGATCTGAAAGTTGGTTAAAAGGTAAAATTCTTTAAATAAGTTTCTCCAAAATAATGAAAGTTAGAAATAACTACAAACCAGGATTTTTTGTCATAATTTTTAATGCTTTTCACTTTTAATACTGGTTTTAAATTTGTGATTGTAACATGGAAGAGCCAACTTCTTTTAATTTTTAAAACTTATCATTAGGATCATAAAGCTATTATAGAACAGTTACATTCTACACAATCAAGGTACTCAAAAATATGATTCATGTTTTAAGTCTGTAGATGAACAGTGGCAATTCAAATACAGCATTATCTGTACAACTAGACAAAAATACAGGTGGACAATCTGATTATAGAGAATCTGCGCAACTTCAGATAAGTCAGCTCAGCCCAATTAAAAGGTAATTTCTTTTTCGAAGTGCATCACATTTTTCACAGATAAATTTATCAAATTAAGATGTCCAGGTTCTCAGACAGGATAACAATGACCATCTCAGCTTCATTCCCGATACAAGTTCTATCAAGTCACTTTCTTCATATCTAGTTTGGCAATGTCCAAATTCTCCAAACAGAGACATTCAGAGAACAGTATCTGATGGAGGAGACTGCTGCATTCTCAGCCCTTCAAATTAGTTCAGCTTCTAAAAGCATCCTTTCTAGAGTCAGGAGCTGCTTCTGCAGAGACCACCACAGCTGTATAAATAATACCAATCCATTAACAGGAAGGAGTGAACTCAGAGTGCACAGACAGATGGCAGTGACTGACAAGAGGTATGGGCTCAGACAGGGCAGATTCTATAAAACCATAAAAGCAAGATCCCTTCCAGAAGAAAGCATCTCAAGGCTACTTGCACATGGACAGTCTGAGAGGCCTACAGAGAACTGCCTTTTCTTGATTTGTTCTTAAAGAGATCAATTAATACCGATTTCTCAATATTGCAACTACCTTCCATGTTCTTTAAGAAGTCTCTTACAATTCTGATTGGGTAGGGCTAGCTGTAGCAAAGTACCAGTGCCTTTATCTGAAAGTAAAATGTATTCTTTACAAATAGAATCTGTAGTGTAATTTTATTTACAGAATAAATTGCAAAAGTACATCACATTTAGTGCAAATGCAACTAATGATACAAGTTTATATACTGCTTTGTAAACTTTCCATACATTTGTAAAATAAAGCTATCCAATTAAATTAATAAACTCACCTGTGTTCCAACAATTACCAGAATCGGCAAACACGGAGTTAAACTCTTTATATTTTGACTTTTTTTTTTTTTAAAGTTCCCATCAGTGGCTATTGTGGAATGAACCATTGGTTGGTTGATTGTAAAAAAGATGAAGTACATTTGAGGTAAAAGTTTTTTGTTGTGGTTTTTTTTTTTTAACCGCTATATAAAATGCTCACTGGTGATATAGTAAACATGTACAAATTTTCATCTTACTTGCCTTACTAGCATTACCATATAGGCACTTTTCTACATATTCAAATGAACAGAATTAACTCTGTAATAAGGCATGTTCCATGCACACCATTAGAGAAAGGCAAATAAAAAGGGAAGAGTTATGGAGCACAAAATCTGCATGCATGTGTAATCATGTGTTATGTATGATTTCACCTCTACAGAGAAGACGAACAGATAGTTTTTCAACACTCTGCAGATTACATTTAATCATTTACCAAATCTTCATTAAGTTACTGTATTATATTTATTTTCAGGCACCTACCATACTATATCAAATAAAACTTTCAGCTTTCCTCTGAGAAGAATATATCTGAAACTTCTTTCTTGAGATACACAGGTTAGTGAGACACCAAGCAGTCTCTGAAGAGTTTCCAACTATGGGACAAGGATAAAAGACCTCAAAGTCAGTACCAGTCTGCCACAGTCCTCTCCTAATGAATATCTCTAGATCAAAGGCAGGCAAACACCTGACATTTAAATTCTCACAGCAACTAAAGGGAATTTTCCAATAAGAACTACTCATCCTTATAGCTCTAATGGGTTTTGATCAAGAGGCAAATCATTTTGTACATGAACCTCATAGCATGGCTTTATTAAGATAAGGAAAACACATGCAGGATCTGAAAGTAATGTACTCCTCCTCATTCTAGACTGGGAATGTTGTCTTATGTAGTCCAAATTATTTCAATATATATTCTAATGTACCTTCTCACAGCTTTGGGAAAGCCCTGGATATTGCGCAAGAAAGCAGTCCACATACAGCGTGAACAGGTGACTTCTAGCTTTCAGGCAGTCTCTTGCCCTCTCATACAGAATATTCGAGATTTCTGGATTATGTTTAATAACAAAAATTCTGTAGCACATATTACATAACTAAAAAATACAATAGAAATATAAAGATATCTGGAAAAAAATAAAGCTTTTCACGCTCTTACTCCTTCAGAGCCAAAGATCGTCATAAGAGTAAGACAATAGAAAAGGCAAAGTCATAAGGATATTGACAGCCCTCAGTTATTAACTGACATTTTATGTAACAGGATGATTCACTATAGAAACCAGCAGCAATGAACTATGATTATACAAAGCAAAACAACCTGCCAGTAAGTCACCTAGGCTTTACTGAAGTCCTTCCCTCCCCAAAATACCACAAATTTTTGTGCATATAACGCACATACAGTATGCTATATGTGCATTTGTCTTTTGTGCTTTTTAGACATGCACAAAAACTGAGTGAGTATCTTAGGAAGGCTGACAGTGAGATTCTGCAACTTGTTTAAAATTAAAGCAGTAACCCACGTTGGTGATTCAAAGTTGTACACGTTCTTCCTCTACTAAAGCAAGCAAATAAAAATAGAGCCATATACATGTTATCAATACATGTATTTATAATTACACTCATTCAGCAAGAAAAGTTAGCAGGAGAGAGCTAGTGTTAAATATTCAGCCTCATGGTGTTGCAACACTTCTTCACTTCAGTACACAAAGCCTAGAATTTGGGCCATAAAAAGACTGTAGATCCTTCGTTCCAGCATGGAGTGCTCTATGCATGGTCACTTCTCCAACGTGGAATGCTCACCCAGTCTTGTTCCGCAAAGACAAAAATAAAGCACTGAAAAGTCTGAACACTAACAGGAAGACAGAAACTTGTTATACACATTAAATAGTATCAGCACTGCTATGATCACATTTGAACTGTTGGCTCATGGCAGGTGTGTTTTTAGTGGTTCACCTACACTACTTCTCTAACACTACAGAATTAAAAATGTGAATCATTCATTACAGGCTTCCTGTTAGAGAAGGATCAAATGACTAAGACTTTTGAAGTATGACATAGTAAATAGAACCCAAAAACAGAGGTAGCCTATGTCATGCACAGAAAAAGCAATAAAACCTCATTTTCAGATCATGCTGTAATACTAGAACTACCAAATGGAATTCACTAGTATAACACTACAGTTATACATAATGAAGTATATAGCAAGAGTCTACACTACCAGAAATTAGGTGAAGCCTTACTTAGCACTAAGGCTTATGTTTGACAGATTCAGACAGTCCCAAAAGTGATCAAGAGATCCTCTTCTAATGTCATATAATCATTTAAATGTTAAAATATTTTTAGATTAGCCCAAGGACCTATATACTTAAAATACATCCATTGACTTCAGGAAGCACCTGTAAATCCCTTTTCTTTCTTAGGTTCATCAGAAAGGCTAAAAATTTAAGTCACAGCCTTTTAAATACCGCAGTCATTGACACTGGTCTGTCAGAAAAGTTCCATTAATAAAAATCCTAGATCAAAACTATTCTGTCAGTCTAAAAGAATAATTTGACTTTCATAATATTCTATCAAAAATGCAATTTTAAGTAGAATTTAAGATATCAAAATGTCATTAAGCTCTAGAGAAACATCAGTATGTATTCTTTTCTTTTGTAAAATGTCTGTGATAGCAGAGAAAAAACAAGACTTCATCCTTTACACTTCTACATAAAATAGACACGCATCCAAAAACTTGCAAGATAAACTAGTACAAGTGTACAAAAACTAATACTTGATAACATGTGCAGCCCTTATTTTTCATGCTAATAACACCCAGGAATTACATGAATGCTTTAAAAGGTATCTTGCATACATATATTAAAACTAAGCACTGAATTCATGCTAATCATGGTAGGAGACTTCTAGATTGCATGCTTGTGTTTGGCCTTAAATTTACAACAGTGAATCGAGAATGAAAAAAATGAACATATACCTGCTAATACTAGAATAAAATCGGCTTTCCTGCTGTTTTCTCTTGCACGTATGATGTAAAACGCTTCAAGAATTTAGGATATTCTCGTTTTGCCACTGCCCGTAACACTGATGCTGGTGCCCATCCTCCTGGGTTCACTAGAAGCAGACAGAAAGACAGACATTGAAATACAGCAAATCCGGTATAGGCTAGGAAAGCAAACTTAAGTTCATTATTCCTGCAACTCTTTCTGAAGTAACAGGAAATAATAATGATCAGCAGGGTTTTTTTCAATGCCCTTACAGATTGTATTGTAACACCTTCTACTCTTAGTAGTCATCCCAGTCCTATGGCATCCTATGATGCCACTATTTAGAAAACATTAAACATGATATGTTATGAGTCTTTGGGGAATGCCCAAACAGAAGATGACAGTCTCTAAGGACTTCCAAGAAAAAAACAGAAAAAGAGTCTTGAGTTACTTCTTATTTCAAAGGAAACAGAAGTCAGTCTTAACTTTTCAATAACTGCTGCATTTGACTGCAGAATTGCTACCTAGCCAATGTGTTACAAATTATTTTTAAAGGACTTTAAACAAAATTTGAACTGATTCTAAAATACTCTTAAATTCATAGGGCAAGTACTGAAAGTTGCTGAAAAAGCTGCCACTTCCCATATATTCATAGTTCAGAATATATAAATGAAAATATATTTTTTTAGTAATTAGGAAACTTCTACAAAGGAAACAAAGCAGCTCACCCCAGAGTTTAATACCATAGAGCATTGTTTGTAGAGGATCTAATACAAATTACGTCACTCCTATATGGGAAAGATTTACTGAACCAGTTTTTCAGACTTTGACTGTTTAGTAAGCCACGTAACGGGTGGTTAAAAGTAATAAGCCAGTGAGCTACTCTTGGAAGTGTTTGTGGCTGCAGGAGGGGATCTAGGAAGTGTGTAGCTCCAATACTATAATACACTGGCAAATACTGGATATAGTAACAATACAGTTTGGCTTTGGTAACTTCTCAGTCAATACTAAGGATTTTATCAGTTAAAAATAATTTTAAAAATTCAGACTAGATTATACAGCTTGCAAATATCCTCATAGAAAATGTAACACTGAGGGAAAAAACTCACTGTCAGCAGCTCTTCAGCTTAACAAGATAAACTGGGGGGGAAAAACTACAGCAATACATGAAAAAAACATACTATTACTGAAACTAAAATGTATGCCAAGTTATCCCAGCTGCAGACATTCCTTCTGCTCACACCACTTCCATTTATTCCTCCCAGAATGCCACACAATGAATGATCCCATCCACTGATTCATGCAGCACATTAATTCTTTTTAAACATGAAGATCGTAAATGTGATGCTACATATAAGTTTAACAGAAAATAGCATCATGCTTTTTTTGCAAGTATTCAGCTCCCCAGAATTAGCATATATCATGAATGTCATACTAAAAAAAATTTAGACTTACCATTAGCTACATATGTAATCTTGCATAGGATGTTGTCCCTGCTTATTTCCTTGTTCCCCTCTGGTGGGCTTACTAACGTCTGACAAATCATAGCAATATTTATTTTGGCACGGACACAGCGATTGTTCAGCTGCCAAAAACAATGAAATATTGGTAAGCCTCAAGACTAAATTTGTTTCAGCATACTTGACTGCTAATATTTTAATTTACTATGAGGTCTAAGACACTCCAGAAGCTGTGTTTCTGAGAGTCCTCATTCTAGCACTAGTACATGGATGTAACATGAACGTGAGTTAAAGGCAAGGTACCTGGTAAACAGGGAAAGGGTTAAACGAACATGCCTGAATCTCAGGTTTTTGCTGGCTTAATACATACTACAACTGAATTACTTCAATTGTTATGGCAAATGAGTAAAGAAACTTTCAGAGAATAATGTACCAGCATTTACAAATACCAGTCAGCAACTTTTCCCTTGTGAGCAGGCTATACCATAGCAATCAGCATAGAAATACTACGAAGATTACAATTACTGCTACTATCCAACAGAACCAAGGCAGAACTGTGTAAGACGGAGGTTTAAGAGATTCCATATCTACAATTATACAAGCCTACTCCTGTATCTGACAATATTGAAGAGTTATTGATTTGATTCCCTACAAAATAACCAGAATTTTAAAAAAATGTTTTCACATCTCCAGAAATTTTGCTTCCATTCTGCTGCAATACCTTAGATCTGCCAGCTATTGAGATAAGGCAAAAAAGGTTTTAGCTCAGAATGCCTTTATCAGGTCATTGTATCACCTTGTTTAAATAAACTGTGTTTTTCCACAACGCCTCCACCTCTTCACTCTAGTATTGCACGTGCATTGCCACATAACAGAAAAACATCTTAAAAGCAGAACTTGATAGAATTAAAGTAATAGTTACAGGAGCACTGTCATGTTCCACAGAGAAATTGCACACAATCCATGTTTCAGGATCATTTTCACTGAATGCTGGTATCTTTCTGATGGCAGACAAATACAGCACATCCCTTTGAGAAGCTGGCCACACCCTCTGCAGAGAAACACCTGAATGTAAGTTTTTCCAGTTTTGCAAACTAAGCACTTACTATCCTTAGATAAAGGGAAAAACAAGCAAGGCAAACCAGATCAGTCATATTATTTAAGTACAAGTTTCTTCAAGTTAGTAAGTTAATTTTCAAAACTGAAACAGAATATAGCTGTTGTATGGATGCATATCAGGTTATATGGATACACTTCACTTAAAAAAACTTAAGGCAAAAGTTTAAGGTCTTTGAAATCCAGAAAGCCATGCTGCAATGATTTTTTCAGTAGACAAACAGAGGCAGTTCCCCTCCCATTTCCTTAACCTCAGGATTATATTTTAGTTAATACTCATAAGCTACAAACTGAACTAGCTGTTAAGTATAAACAGATGCATCTACAGTAACTTATGTCTCCACAGAGAGCAAGTGTGAGGAAGAGAAATATTTAAAACAAGTATTATTTCAAAAAGCTACAATTTCTTTAAGACAAGATATGGTAAACGGTAAATTATCTAAAAGAAAGTTTCAGAAGCAAAATATCTGATAAAGAAAATACATAAACGCCTTTTTTCTGAAACCCAATAGAGGAAAAAAGTCTATCTTTTACCACAACATGATACAGTTTATATAACCATCTTACTCAAAATCACAAGTCCTATGTTACAGAAGTTTTAAGGTAACCACCTTACTTGTAAAATTGTCAAAGAAAAATATTTGGTTTAATATTTGAGTATACTACTACTTGGAATCATGCAAGATTAAAGATGAATCTGTACATGTCATTCTCATTTTTTGAACCTTTAAGTTACAGTTGTTGGGTTATTATTCAGACGAACATTTTACTAAATTTACACCAGAAGTAGTTTTGGTGGAAAAACGTAATGCAGTTACAAGAACAAACGTTGTATCAGCAATTAGACCACCTCATAATGCAAATGTGTATGTCAACTAACTGTGGTCAACAATAACTTGCATTATTGCAACAAAACGCATTATACGGTGGTATAGGTTTCTTCGTTCTAGCCGGTGTTGATTTATTGCTTCAGTTTGCCTTAGGTGACTCTTGCCTTGCTGGCAGTGATGTATTTATAGATTAAAAACTCCTCACTTGTTATTACAAATTATCAGAAAGATGCACAACCAATTATGCTATCAAGACAAATCTGAAAAACTGACAAAGTTGCAATTTAATAGCAAACTTGCTTTGAACATTATTTTAAGTTCTTAAGCTGTTAAAGTATTCAGAATAAGATTAGAACACATATGCCCTGGACTGTCTCAGTAACGTATGCATACAGCTCATGTGTTATTACCTTATGTGTCTGGTAAATGATGATTGCATTATCAGCTAAATTTTCCACAACATGGAAATTTTCAACTGTTGCTAAAAGAAAAGGGAGGGAGGAGAAATCCATCAGTAAAGAAGCACAGATATTAGGTCAATGTCATAAACAATATCCTTGCTGATACACATGCAAAGCTTAAGAACCAATTCCTTACTTTCCCAGTCATTACGAACATCGACGTTCCAGAAGTAGTGGCAAACTTCATGCCCTGTTACCCCCTTAACAGCATGGGTTGCTTTCAAAGGATCTAAAACTATTCCATTCTCTTCCACCTCTCTTCTGTATACCTATAGCCAAATACAGAAAAAGAAATGTAGAGCAGAAATTGTCAGAACTGTTCATGTTTTAATCGTTTAAAATTTCATCAGTTTTTTTTGTTTTTTAAATCTTACCTAGAAGACTGACACATGAATAATTTGCCCTGTCAGTGTTCTCTATCTACCAATGCAGATATTCTTACATGGTAATTCACATTAAAATACCAGTATTTTAAGAATCTCTACTCCAAAAATGATTAAGCTACTTCATTTATCACTATGCACAAGGATCCATACAAGCACAGTAGAGCAGCCAACACAGTAACTTGCTACGCTATAACATTTTCTTACATCGAATTTACACATCATTTTGATACCAAGTTTCAAGCATGAGAGAATGAGAAAGGCATCTGCAAAGACAAAGCTATAGTAAGATTTAAACAGGATATTTTATGAATAAATATATTAGAAGCCACAGCTCTTGTGGACTCCAATCCTAACTTAAACAATGCTATTCTCACAGAGAAGTTTTAACAGCATAACTTGCTAAGTGATAGTACTCCCTGAGAATCATAGAATCAGTTAGGTTGGAAAAGAGCCTTAAGAACACATTGAGTCCAACCGTAAACCTAACACTGCCAAGTCTACCAGACTGAAAGTATCTGTCTTCAGAGCATATCATCTTACATCAGTTAAATAAAACCCCAGAATTTTACCTTCATTTCTCCTTCTTCTACCACTAGCTGCCAATTGGCATCTCCTCCTACATCTTGCAATGAGTATGTCATATGGTTTTGTACCATCTCTTCTACCTTTAAAAGAAAAAAGAAACACATTTTTAACACATTCCTTCTGTCTTCTTGGGCAGGGACTGTACAGTATTGGCAGCCACAAGTCAATACTTCAAATCCTGTGCAGGAGCTGAATTTGGACAACAGACCTTTCTATTACAGGTTAAGAATCAGAGAATCATAGAACAAGGAGTTACTTCTGGCTTTCAGAAACAAAAGCCAAAATCTTGATTCAACTTCCAACTTCATCCTTTGTGGGTACTTCCTATCCTTCCTTTGCACCTCCAAACTGTCAAAACTCACTACTTCTACCTAAGACAGTTTTATTTCAGCATATAGGAACTTACTTCAGGTATGTAAATAGAATTACAATGCACTGCAGGATACTCACTGAAGAACATTTAGAGAGCTGAACAAAGGCAGGGGGTGTGAAGACAGATAGGCTCTAAAAAAGTGAATGCATATCAAAAGCCATATTGCAAGAGCAGTGATGGAAACAGCCATGGGCAAAGCACGCCCATTCTGTTTCACTGGCATCTTTGCATAGTTGCCAGCTAGAAAAAAAGAACAGAAACACTTACATTCAAAAAAATTATGACACAGAGACTCTACTATTATAAAATAATAATTTAAAAATTATTTATCTAGACAGTTGTGTGCTCTTAAAGGCCAAATATTTGATACATTTTTATCGAGCTATGTGAACACCATTTTTTTTGTTCTATATAATGTGTATGAAAATGGGTGCTGGGACAGGAAATGGATTTTTATTTTAAATCTATAATATTATTCTGTTTAGTTGGTTCCTCACCCCTTTCCAAATCCTACTCTCCCCCAAATAAAAACTGAAGCAAAAATAGTGTCCATTGCTGCATAATGTTTACAAGTACTGTAAACACTTTAATAACTTTTTTCCACACAAAAGGTAGGTGACTACTAAAACTTGTCACAGCAAGTAAGTTCATGCGATTTGACACTATTTTAGTGAATTACTAGAAATGTCTTTTTTTTCAAAAGGAAAAGCACTACAAAGGCTAGTTAATTGATTAAAGATTAGTCTAAGAAGTGCACAATAACAAAATTAATAGCCTTAAGTGGTTTTGCACAACTTTGAAAAATATGAAGCCTAGTGCAATATAAAATAACATACATTTGAGCAAGCACTACAAGTAGAAAGAAATATTAAAGAATACTTAATGATCTTTTTCAAAAATTATATAGAATTGAAAGATGTTATTTACTTTCAATTTAAAGCAGTAATTTTGTTTGTACTATGTACTCCATGGGCAATACACTTAAGACCAGGAAGAAAAAAGGTAATCGAATCAAGTCAAAATCCTCAAAGTAGAGCATCAAAATAAAATCCACTGGATGGGAATTCTAGTTGATCTTATTTTAACTATAGACTTCTCTACTGAACTAAAAGTTATCTGTCCAGTTTTTGTGCTTCTCTTTGGGGTTTGGTTTGGTTTTGAGTTATAATGCACTAAAAACACCCACAAGATTTTGTTTGTGCTTTTAGACAGGCCATCTTTTCCTGCCAGTTACTAGCAGGTCTAGAAAAGATTCCCAGTGAAACAAGGACAGTACAATCCAAACCAGGTAAGAATGTGGGCTATTTAAATATTCAGTTTACTAGCTCTAGGTCACACTTCTTTCACAACTGAATCCTCACCGTGTTCCCAACATTTACCTGCAACACTTTCAGGTCCCTATGTCTCTTTTCCCATAGCACCTAATGTATTAAGGGCAAAGCTAGCTTTAAGATGTTTGTTTGGTCTTTTGCTTTTTTTGCTTTATGCTAAATGCAGAGAGATGCAGGGAAAGAAGAGAAGGACGAGTCCACAGGAATGCAATCTAAACTGTTTCTTACTTCTGCTTCACCAAGGAATTGTAATACCTGCAACTGCTTTGCGGATACTGCCTGTCCAAACTGTATGAAATCTATGTATTAGTTGCTGTCAGCTTGCACCAATTTCAAAAGCACAGTCAAGATTCACAGCTTCCTTCCCACTGGGGAGGCCACACTATTACCTCTGGCTTCCTGGGAGGCTACAAGAATAGTCTGTAAAAATACTTGCATAGCCCGTATGCCATGAAGCCTTGGCCCGAACCAAAGTGGGAAGTTCTTCACTTTAAAGGCCCTCAGAACAGCTCAATCTATTTTAAGATCTGATAGTCCTTTAAAATAAAGTGATCTGCAAAACATCTACACGGTTTTAAGCCCACAACCTCCCACTCAACTGGCAGAGACAAATCAGCACCTTTCTAGAGGCACTCTTGAAGAACCAGCTCCCATAAGAAAATGTGTTTAGACTTCTCAATCTTAAAAACAAGGCTGCAAGTTTCTACTTGACCTTTTACTGACATCAAAATTTCCTTTGTACAAATGAAGTCTAGAAACAATTAATTTATTCAGAACCAAGATATTAAGTCGCCTTTTCCAAAACCTCAGCCTGGGGACAAAGGCCAGTTTCACACTAACAAGGTCCAGAGCAGGTTGCCACCAAAAGGTGTGCTGCTTTTCTTTTCACGCTCTCAGTTGTCTTTCACCTGCTTGTTCAGTAACAATGAAGCTCCAGAGCAGGTGGACTGACTTGTTGATGTGGCAAAAATTTGTTCTAGGGAAAATATTTGGAGGGGTAGGGGTGTGTGTGGGGACAGTAGTTTCCTACAAGTTAAGATCATTCTTCCTACAGCTAATCCATTAACTTGAAACTACATTCAAAGGCACTCAGCAGTAATGTCTACATAGTATAATACATGCAGCAGCTGAAAAGAGCAGCAACTTGACTCCAGTCCATTTGATCCTGATCCTTGTCCTCAAAAATCGGCATTGTTGTGATAAGGACCTGGTCCACCTCTGATTTGTTTTTAAATGGTTAGTTTTTCAGCCACACTTAGGGCTCTGATACTCAGGTTTTTCATATGAATGCACAAATGTTATCACAGGCATAAAAGAGGTAAAAATGAGGAGGCCCGCATATTTTAGCAACTATGACTTCCCCTTATATTGAACTGCCCATGTACCCACAGCCTGACAGACAACCAGTTCCTTTCTTTGGAATCAAACCTGGTTTCTACTATGTGATTTCCCCCCACCTCCCCAAAAAAAAACCAAACTCAAAAAACTAACTTGACTACTGGAGTACTAGTAGATGAGCATTTCTTGTTGTTCAGTGTTTTTCAATATGACCTGCATATTTTTTCCCTTGTGATAAGTTCAAATTTCAGAAATAAACTGACTGCAAAAGGTCAGGGCAAGCGTTGGGATTTCTGTCCAATAAGCAAGTCCTTAAGTGTTAGGGTCCTGCTCATAATGCTGGTAGTAAGGTCTGCAGGTGGAACAATTCCAGGCTCTGTTAATCAAAGGAAAATCCATTCTTTCTATTTGAAAGAGCTAGTTGTTTGCGGTGTTAGTTAATAATTTAAAAAAAACCTCCAAAATTACAGATCCCAGAAGTAAGCTCCATACTCAGAATCACATATGGACCACAGCAGAAGGAAACTAATGGCACGAATGCCATGTCTGAACAACTTTTTTTGAGACTCAGGAGCAAACACATGAACTTACCTAATTCTACTCTAAACTATGATCTTCAGAGCAAGCACCTAGAGTGTTTTCGTACATTACTGGAATATGTCACTAGGACGTCATTGAAATATTCAGCATGTCAGACTTATTTTCTGAAGGGTAAGTGAATATACTTAAACTCTTCGTAAAAATTTTCATACCCACAATCTTGTTTGCAAACAACATACTTTATGAACTTTCAGTAATAAAACTAGTCATAGAGGTAAAAAACAGTAATAGTGAACCTTAACATTTGGTAGCTTAATGTCACTACAAACAAATGTTAAAGACAAAAATCAAACTTCTAATTTAAAAGCAAGAAAAACTATTCCAATCTGAAGCAAAGACCATCTCCAGCCCACACAAAACAGGTGTTATTCTATGTTTATTATAACTAGAAATGCAGAATTTTCAAACTGTAGGCATTTTTATTAAACTACTGAATTAAATCCAACAGTTTCACAAGATCTGGGCCTCTGCACAAGTGATATGCATGCAAGCAGAATGTAAGACAACAACCATTTAGTACAGGAATAGAGAACCCTTTTGTTTGTTTCAACGTACTAGTTTAAAGCAAACAGTGATTTATGTAACAAAAAACCCAGGTTCTAGAGAAGAGGATGAAATACAGCAAAGATATGCAACCCCCACTCTATACATTAATACAGTACCTGGGCGCTGAATCTGTGAACATCATCAGAGGCACTGACTAGATCAATGGAAGACATGGAGGAAGAGCGACTATAGGGCTACCAGAGACAGACAAAGAAAAAACCAAGTAATCAGAACAAAGGCACAACAGAGCATTCAGTACCAACTTGCAAGCACAAGATAATGAAGAAAAGGAAAACAAAAGCACCATAAGCAGCAAGCACAGCAGCGAATGCTGATTTCATGCACCTATTATGTATTATGCTCCCAGCATAGCCCTGAGAGGAGCATAGTGTTTCCAGTAACACTGAAAAAGGTCAACTGATCCTGATACAAAAGACGGGAGGGGAGGTTTTGTGGGTGGTTTTGGGTTTTTTTTAATAAAATCAATTAAATTAATTTTGGTGAAGCTATCTTAAAAACACTGAGGTTATCAAGTTGGTATTTTTCCTTAATTGTATAACTGACAAGCTTGATACAGGTCAAAAGTATTCTAAATAGATACTTAAATCAGTATTTTTTGAGCCAAGACAGAAAACAGTCCTCCTCCAATTCCAGCTACTTCATTTGAAAATGACTAAACCATTGAAAGTTACTAGAAACACCTAAAAATAAATTTCACTTACCCATCCAAAACATTGTACAGAAATATCATAGGTCAGCCCATTATTCAGAGGAGATAATGAGAAATATCTTACTTTTTGGACAAATCGATGGTTCCCCACAGCGGAATATGCATCTCCAGAAGGTAAGGATGTTGGCCAGTGTAATCTGACCTTTTCACTTTGGGACTGCAACAAAATAGGTTTAATTATTAGTAGTCAGCTGCTATTGAGTGGACTATGAAACAGAGTGAGTCATCCTGAACCTAAATAGTGGCTACAACAACTAATGCTGTCCATGACAGGCATGAAGCTGTCATCCTGCTGGAATTCTCAGTAAGTGAATGGGCCTGAAGACTGAACTCATCTCTACTTCCAAGGTGTATTTCTGAGTTAACAAAAATACATCAGCAGTGTTAGGGATCCATAGAGTAGTACAACAGTGAATCAAAACTTTTACTCTCTGCTAAGAGATCCCAACAAAGGTAAATTTTGTTGGGTACTATAGAAAGTCTTTTAATTCATGGTATTCACTACATTCATAAGCCTAAACTCTTTTAAGACAAAGGATGCACCACTTTGTTATTCCCTCTCATTTTATAATATGTTCTCATGATCTATACGTTTCCTCACATGGATCTTATCTCTTTTTAACCCTTGTCACTGAAGTATATTCAAGAAATGAGTTAGAGAAAGAGCCAGAGCCTACAGAATTTTTATATAAAACCAAGCACCAACAGAACTATGTCTTTCCTATTTCACATACTGCTAGAGCCAAAAGAAAAATCAGAGCAATAACTGGGTTTTGAGAAATAGCTGTAGTGTTTGATAAAGTTAAGTTTTATACAGGACGCTTGTTCAGGAATTGGAAAGAGACATTCAATTAGCTTAACACCCGTACCATCCTTTTCTCTGTAAGCTGTGAAGTCACTTTCTCAAAATCAGCGTTAAGCCACAATATTTAACTGTAAAAATATTAAGTGAATTCCTCTTATCAGTGTCAGAATAAGATATCTAGAGCTTCAGAAGATGCATTCCAGGACTGAGTTTAAGTCACAGAAGTCTCCCATTAAGCGCCCATCATAAAGACATTTTTCAAATATCAGTACCTGTTCTTCCATTTTATCCTGTCTATCGAGAGCAGCTTCAACAGCATCAAAAAATTCTTCTTCATTAATCAGACTATTAGGACCCTCCTAGAGCATAAGAAACAAAACTAGTTCAAAATTTTGGAGTATGAGATGAGAGTACCACTTCAGTTTAATACTAGAAATACATATCTATATATTATGAATATAACTGGAAGAAAATTTCTGCTATAGATTTCAAATATTTTCACCAATATTCACAGATTACAATTCCCCTGAAAACCCTACTTGTTAAAGGAAGTTACTCCCTCTAATTACAATTTAGGGATAGTTGTATAAAGAAGAAAAAAACCAGGAAACTGAGTGTCAATAAGCTTTGACATCAGATTTAGGTTTTAATTAACATGTGTCTTCTCTTAAAAATGTTTACAGTGTGTCAGTAAAGTACACATTTTAACATAATTGTGTAGAGTCCTTCCAGTTGTTCCAGTGCCTCAGGACAGATTCAGATATGTACTCAAAACATATGAAGAGAAGACAACATTCTGGGGATCTCTATTGAAAATTCTTGTAATAACTCTTGGAAATCAGTTAACTATTAAAAACTCGAGTCTACCAAGTAAAATGGTAATTTCAGAAAATTAGGTTTACTGCTTTTACTGTATTCTAGAATGAGCTGGTCCAACAAATTTCAAAAAACAGGGATATCTAGGAGAAGCAGCTGGGTTCACAACCAGGTAGACAAAACTTCCTATCCATCTTTTTCTTTTATAGTGTATGCCTCAGTCACAACAGAGAATCTAAGCTCAAGTATCTTTTAAATATCTTGACATATTACTACTATTTCTCAGGCTATGATTTGTAAATAGAAACATGTTTGATTAATGTACACAAAAGGATCAAGTTCTTAAAAATTATGCAAACTACATCATAGGTGCATTAGCTTTCATTATTCTTCAGAAGGTGGTTTAAGTGTCTTAGAATTTGACTAAATATCTGAGGAAGAAGCTGCTGAAATATGCAATTTAACAGACGAAAGGAACCTAAAATCACTGAATTTGTCAACATGAAATTTCAAGAGGCAGTGACAAGGTAAAAATCAATTAAACTTCAGATTCTAGGATTGCCTCTGCAGTCAGGGTTTTCATATTTACTTGACAAATCTGTACAGCTGAACCATTACACAGGGAAAAGTACAAAACTATTGCATATAAGTAGTTTCAAATGCAAAAGATAAACAATCAAATATAATCAGAAATATCTGTAAGCAAAATGCTTTAGACAAAAGCCGAATATGGAAACCAGAGGTGAAGACAGACTTCCATGCTCAAAAAATTAAGGACTGAGGTTCTTCATACAGTTTCAGTTTCCAAGGTGGAAGAACAAAAGCGGCTTAAACACACTTGCACAAGCCAAATGCCTTGATTTACACATCCCTTTCCCCTCTTTGAAAAACCAGACAATCTTTAAAAGTCATAGTGATTTTAAAAACCTCAAAAGCAGAATTTGTACCTCATAGTCTGGCCCTCCAAAGTGGGACTTTTTCTTCAGTTCTGTCAGAGCATTTTTGTATGCTTCTTCAATTCTTCTCCTTTTCTCTATCTCCTGTAAAATTACACGATCATTTGATTCAGTAAGAATTAACTGACTAATAACATGCCAATAAATGGAGTGACCACTATAGTTCTTTTTCCAAGTAACAATTGCTTCTGATTTTCTGAATTTATTTGCATGCATGCATTATATGTGCCTATATAGATGCATATATAATGCAAAGCATGGGAAGCTAGCTACCTTGAGGATACCTTCTTTAAGTCATGTGGAAGAAACTAGACCAGGAAGCAAAAACTGCATCTAGTTTAAGCATAGGTATTCATGGTTCATTGAGGGTCAGACCTTCTATCTGACTGACAGTTTATATAAACCTCCTTGACACAGCTGCTTGGGCAGTGATAACAAAGGGTGAAAAGTAAGACTGGTAAAAAGCTAACTTGTTGAATGCAGTGAGATACTAATGAGTCACAGCATGTAAGTTTGTATCTATAATTAGCTGCTGGCATAGGATCAGCGTGAATCATTTTGTGAACTCCATGCAGAGACTAACAACATCATTCTCTTGTCGTAGATGTGTGACTGTACTAGAGCCCCTGATGATACCTATATCATAATATATTTTGAATAAAAAAGTAGTAATGCCAGAATCAGAGTAAGCCTAATACTCTGCAAATTCTACACACTGCCAGATATTCAGTGAAAAAGCTATGAATGCTTCTGAAATTCTTGCAGAATTCAGCTTTAATATGTGACATGTTTCTATGTCCCCCTTCAGAACCACCTCATGTGGAAGAAATTTAAGTCTTACAGGTGACAACTGGACACCACACACTACTTCTTGCAGATATAATTATTCAGGAACCCAGCGTGAAGATTCAGTGGAAAACCCTTAAGCAATACTGAAAGGCTGAGTTTACCAGCTTGGAATTTGGTGGTAACATTAACTCCAGAACACATTTTCCAGCTCCTAAAGAAAAGTTTGAAGAGTAAAGCAACAGTTTTGATGTCAAAGTTGTATAGTTTTCCATAGGAAAATTCTTAGGAAAAAAAAGCAGCACTTAGATGAAGACAGTATTGTCTTCATCTGTGAAGGTAGGCTTTTCCCTTCTGAAACCATCACAAAGAGGTGATAACTGCTAATGCTTATGTTTCACAACATTTTGCATATTTATCTTTTCTGAAAGTAACAGGAGAGTCCTGAAGATGTATAAAGCATGACTTGAGTATATGTCACTAAGAGAAAGCACAGAAGTTTTACCAGAACACTTGGAATGAGAAACAACAACAAAAAAATCAACCTAGAACACAACTCCTCCTCCTGCTTGCCCCAAATCCCCACACTTTCTGTACTTCAATCTGCAAATTAGTGATAATTCACATATGTCAAAAGACAACTCTCCAAATCTGTCAGCTTCCCTTAGCAACAAACATTAAATAAGGCAGAAACTGAGAAACTGCACAGCAGAAAACTTACTTGTTTACTAAAACCTTGTAAAATTTAATGAGACATATAAGTTACTATTGCCAAAGGTGAGCAAATTACCTATCTTAACATGTTAATCCTAAGGTAAAATGTAATGTTCAGATGACAAATTTGCTCATTAGTAACAATTAGTAAGACCAAAGGAAACAAGAATAGAAAAATGTATCTGTAGTCAAGGCAACAAGAAAGCATCATCATAAGGATTTTGTTGCAAATAAAACAATGGACCAAATACTACAGATAAAATCCTTTCCTTGTTCATCTGTTTTAAGAAAAGTCTATCATAATATATGTTCAAGAGACTCATACTGAAAAACATACTGCACTGGAAAAATAAAAAGTCAAGCTCAAGATCTTAACAGCTAAGAGTAAAAGGTAAAAAGCAAAGCTGTAACTACAGTTACCTTTAGACAACATTACATGCTTTTGTTTTAATTTTATTCTGGCCATCAGACTGTTTTGGTAACAGAAAGAAAATTAAATATCAAATTCTAAAATTACAATCGTTAAGTGCATTATTCTAGCAGTCTTCTTAAAAATTAGAAGATGCTTTTATAACAATATATTGTTTTCAAAGGCTTAGAAATGGTTTCCAGCTTTCAGAATGTAACTTAAACCCCTTTATTTTTTAAAAAGTGGGGTTATAGAGAAAGATACTCAGTTCATAACACTGTACGCATCTCCAGTCAAACTGTGGTCACCTCCAGATTAAAATTCTACTGAAGTTGAGCTTTTTTATATGAGAATGTTTTAGGACAGCTATGATTTTGAAATATATTTGTTTCAAGTTCAGCAGACATAAATCTGCCTTACACCTTTAGGCTAAGCTTGCCCTCTATGAGATGTTGGCTGTATAATTTTGTGAGGTAGCGGGACTAAGACCAGATGTCCGGCCTTCGTTGGAACAATGTGGTCAAAGCCAAACAGATAAAGAAGCTCCCTTGGTTCCTCCTTGAGCCTTGGCCAGGTTTGGCGGGGGCAGGGGGGAAGGGGGGAGAGGAATCTAATGGAGAATGATGCAAGAGGTTCTGCATTTGAAGCCATGTAAGCTTGTTTATTCAACAGTGTAAAAAGCTGGACCCTCTTACAGTGACTTTGGAGACCTCACCTACAAGTGGATGCACTGCGTAGGACCTCCCAATTGCTGGGGCAGGTTCTCCAAATCCTCGCTGCAGCTGGGGCTCCCCAGTGACTGCGGATCTGGATGATGGTGAAGTATTAGGGCGATTGGTGATGCACCTTATTTAATCACTATGGCTAGACATATATAGTAATACCTGTCTTATTTTCTTTGTACTCACTATTGTCTTTTATCTTATTGCTTTGCATTATATTGTCATATTCTGTTTTATTCTTACTTGTTATTTTATTGTTATTGCTTTAACAATAAGTAAAGATAAGCTCAATCCTTTAAACTGGTGTCTGTGTCCCTTGCGCTGACCCCGTCCATTGGCAAAACAGGGACTCTTACTAATCATCTTTGTGTGTTGCTGTTAAGTAGAAGGCAGTTCTGAAGCTAGTGGAGTGAGGAGGCGGGAAAGGAAAGTGAGCTGCATTATAGTGGCACTTAAACTACTTGTAAAACCCTCACTGATTTTAGCCACTTGACAGAGATCTCATTCTTCCTGTGACAAACCTGAACAGTGTAGAGCCAGTGGCATGAATCTGCTAAGACGCCAAGGACAAACTTGATGCTGCCCCTTTCAGCTCTGCTAGATGGTCTTTTACAGGCACTGGAGAGACTTGTAAGAACTCTAAAACTCTCCCAGCTGGAACGTAAACACAAACAGTTGCCCAATTTAATGTAATTTCTCCCTCTGACCTCTCTTGGAGAGGGTATTCTGTACTTCATCATCTCACAATATTTACTTCCTTTTTCAGAGCAGTTAACACATCTATCCAAGAACACCAAAAGTAGAAACATCAACACCATTCTCCTCCCACAACTATTTATCTGATGCCAGAGCAATGTTTTTTGCTCAGGCCCATTGTTATAGAAGATACTCCTACAAAGCCATGTTTAACCACTAAAACAACATGAAAAACAAAAGCACCTCTACAACTGAGATGGAACGGTGTTAGTAGAGGCCTGAATACAGTCAACTGCTCTCTTTAAGGGTGTTCGTCTCAAGATGTTGCTCATGCAGGACTGCAGGGGTGGCCTCTGTAGGAGGCAGCCAGGGGCTGCCCCACGTCAGACACAGGTGGTTCTAGCCAGCTCTGAAACAGACCCACTACAGGACACAGGTGAGCCCACCCACCATGCATGGAACCTCTCTGCAAATGTATTTAAGAGCAGAAAATACCCCAGGGAGAGAGGAAGGGGCAACAAAAAGTGAGAAGCAACAGAAGAGATGCCACAGCCAGAAGAGGAAGACCAGCTGCAGGGCAGTGAACACATCCACACTGAAGCCATGGAGGACCCCATGACAGAGCAGAAGGACATTTCCTGAAGGAACCATCGCCCATGAAGGACCAACACTGCAGCAGATTTTTCCCACAGGACTGCTGCCCGTGGAGAGGACCTGCACTGGAGCAGGGAAAAAGCATGAGGAGGAAGGAGCGGCAGAGGTTAAGTGTTTTGGACTGACTGCAATCCCCCATTCCACACCCCGCACTACTTGGGGCTAGCAAGCAGCAGATATAAGGGGCCTGCAGTGAAGGAGTGAATTTGAGCTTCGGAAATGGAGGAAGAAAGCTCTTTTAATGTTTGTCTTGTTTCCCATTAACTGGATCTATTTTAAATCATCAATAAATTGATTTTCCCGAAGTCAAGAACGTTCGGCTGTGACAAGAACCACTAAGCAATCTCCCTGCCTTTCCTGACCCATGAGCTTTCTCATCCCAATTTTCCCCTAATCCTGCTGGATGGGTGGTGAGCAGCTGAGTGGGCATTTAGCTGTTCATAGAATCATAGAATGGCTTGGGTTGGAAGGGACCTTAAAGATGACCTAGTCCCAACACCCCTGCCATGGGCATGGCCGCAAAAGCCTCATCCAACCTGGCCTTGAACACCTCCAGGGATGAGACATCCACAGCTTCTCTGGGCAACTGGTTCCAGTGTCTCACCACCCTCACAGTAAAAAAATTCTTCCTGATATCTCATCTAAATCTACCTTCTTTCAGCTTAAGACCACTAACCCTTGTCCTATCGCTACACTCCCTGATAAAGAGTGCCCCCCATCTCTCCTGTAGGCCCCCTTTAAGTACTGGAAGGCTCCTGTAAGATCTCCCCAGAGCCTCAACCCTCTCAGCCTGTCTTCATATGGGAGGTGCTCCAGCCCTCCGATTGTCCATCGATCTATTGAGTCAGTTAAATTTTAATTAGAGAAACTAAATTAAAATGAGAAATAGAATCACAGAACGGTTAGGATTGGAAAGAACCTTAAAGATCATCGAGTTCCAACCCTCCTGCCATGGGCAGGGACATCTCCCACTAGACCAGGTTGCTCAAAACCTCATCCAGCCCGGCCTTGAACACCTCCAGGGATGGGGCATCCACAACTTCCCCAGGCAACCTGTTCCAGTGCCTCACCACCCTCACAGTGAAAAATTTCTTCCTAATGTCTAGTCTAAATCTACCGTCTTTCAGCTTATAACCATTAACTCTTGTCTTCTCACTACACTCCCTGATAAAGTGTGTTTCCCCATCTGGTTTCTCAGTATAATTGTGATGAGCTGTGCATAAGAAAGTTGCATTAAACTAGTATTGTTGCAGAGCACGGTCACTAGGATGACAAGGGAAAAGAAGATTTGTTTAGCCTAGCTTAACAGAGGCTATAATGATATGCATTAGCAGAACAGAGAGTTAACAAACAAGTATAAAGTGACTGTGACTAAATTTAGGGTGGAAAGTTTAGAAAAAAAGCGTTTCACAAGTGGAGTGCTATAGCAGAAAACTGCAGAGGTAATAAAATCTATCACATATGTCGTGGTTTAATTCTCGACCCCTTATTCTATACCATTTACATCATGCTCAGGCACCACACTACCCAACACAACCTCATTCACCACCACCCTTCCCATCCTTTTATATAATACACAGCTATCACTTCCTTAGACTATCGACCACCCCTGTAAGATGTCCATTATATATCTATAAAATGTCCACAAATGGCCATAAAATGTCCATTGAATTCATTTAGTCCATGACTTTCGGCTGCATCTGTTATGATGGTCACTCAGGACAGGATAGGCTGTGTGGTACATGGAGTTATTGGGCGCCAAAGCCAGCTCAGGTTGGGTCACTGCTGTTAGCCAAGGCTAGCCTACCACAATTCTATATTATCTAATTCAATAAAAATCTCCTTCTACAAAAGGCTAGCAATTAGAGGACTACAAATAAAAAGTAATTCTTTTACATTAAAGTACTTTACCATGAGTGTGCTGTAAACCCCAGAAAATTTCATTGACAAATGTGACTTCAAAAAAGTTCCAAGTCTACCAAAACAGAGCAACTTAAAACCTCCAAGTTTTTAGAAGCATTTGTTACTTTAATTTCTGTGAAAACAACTCCAAATAAGCTTGCAAACCCCTTTAAAATTTATTTACTCATCCTGTATGAGGTATCAGTCACATGAAACATGAAGTGAAATTCAGGTTTGAATTTGTTCACCATTTGCAGCTAAAAACAAGTGCTTTAAAGTTAGTCCTCAGAAGAAGAAAAAAGTGGCAAATAAATAAACAAATTCAAATTCTATATTAACATATTATTATGTATTAACATATACTAACCCAGGGACAAGAAAAACCTACTTGATCCATGCCCTAAGCAAAGTCTGATCAACAGGAGTGAACTGTGTTTGCTCAGCCCTAAGAAAAGGCTTTCGGGGGGAAACCCAATAGCAGCCTTCCAACACCTCCAAGTAATAAAGACACTGAGCCAGACTCTTCACAATAGTCTGTAGTAGAAGGATGAAAAACAATAGGCAGATCCTGGAATAAGAGTTACTCTAGCTAGATATAAAGTGAAACTTTTTCACAGCAGAAAAAGCTGCTCAGAAAAGCTGTGTACTCTCTAGCCTTGGAGACTTGAAACCAGGCCCGATAAAGCCCAAAGCATCCTGCTCTGATCCCAAACTGTCTTTCCTTTAAGCTGGACGTGGGAGAGAGACCTCTTGAGGTCTCTAGGCCAACCTGAATTACCCTATGATCGTAGGAACAAGCTTCAAGTCTTGAATCTACTGTAATTTCTACAACTACTTAAATGAAGCAGTAACAAATTCAGTGTTGACAGAAGTTGCAATACACTTAGACAGGGCCTTAGAAGTGTGACATATGCCACACAAACACATTCAATGAAAACCAAGAGACAACAAAAGCTATAGGACTGCACAGGACACCAGCTGGTAGTGACAGGAAAGTACAACCTAGTCATGCCTCAAGCACATCTCATGAGAGAAGATGTTGCTTCTTTCAAGTTGTTATAGTGGTTGAGAAGGCTTAGCATGAACTATCACTGCCATTACAATAACATACGTTCTGATACCACACACCTAAAAAATTTATCCAGTTAGTATAAAACACCACTTCATCTCTTCAATCTCCTAACGGAAAGTAAAATAATTGTATCTTAAAGAGAATTTTAAGTTAGAAATGGTTGCTCTCAGTACTGTCACCATCTCTTATCACAATCAAAACATTTCAGAGATTTATACATCGTTTTCCAAGCACAGATAATTAGATCTCTTTTAGAAGGCCACAAGCAATACAGTTATTACTATGGAATACTCTCTCATGTTCTCTATAGATACAAAAAATATAGGAATACTATATGAACAAGGGCTGGGAAAACAAAGATTATGATGAATAATGCTACTACATCACCAGTCAGGATGAGGCTTTAACATCTTATAGGAATAATAATGAAAACATCTAAATTAATAAATGCTGTACATAATAAGCACCTGTAATAAAAAAGTTAACAGCTCATTTGAAACTTCAGTTTCAAGCTAAAAAAACCTTTTTTTTTTTTTTTCAACAAAAAGTAAAAGCAAAATGATCTTACCTTATCTAGCCTTTTTTGCCAGCTTTCTTCACGTTTTACCATGAGTTCAATACAATGAGAGAGTGTAGCAAGGATTCCAGCAGTAGTTGCCTTGAAAGTTATAGCTTCTCCTTTAAAATCTATGCCATTGATTCCTTTGGGTGTCACATGTGGAAACACTGAAAACAAACACGAATCATTCACTGATAGCTCCCTTTAACTCAAACAAGTATTTTACATGGATGCTTTACATTATAACTGTTTGAAGCAAACAGACTGGCTAGAAAGTTAATTTAAAAATAAAAATTGCTAATAATTTCCAGCTGTCTACAGGATAAGGAAAGAGATTCAAAAGGAGGAACACATCCCTTCTGCTTCATCTTGCTATACGGTATTTCAAGTCTGAAATGCGGTATTACTCTGCACTCTCTGAATCATGTGGGTGGAGGGAGTGTTAACACTTTGTAACAATAGCAGTTTGACAGCTTGAAATGGGGCCTAATTAACACAGAGCAACCTTAAAACTATATCTGATATAGCACTAAGAAAGGAGCAATTTCAAAATGCAATCAAACCCAAAACATAACATTCAAGGTTGCTTTAAGTAGATAATTATAGATTTAAAAACCTCAAAGTAAAAAGGTATAAGATAAAAGTATCAAATCTGTTGAATTACCCAAGTACTGTGGGTTTTGCAGTTCCAACAACTACTTCATGCTGTCAACCAAGCCATCTGTTGCTAAGGCTATTTAAACAAGTCACTTAAAATGTGTGACAAAAAAAAGTACCTATTATATGTCAAAATTGCATGTAGGTTGACATAAGAACAAATCAAACACTATACATTAATGTCAGAAAACATTAGAAAACAGAAGTAACACCCATGTTGAAGCTCACTGAGCTCAGCAAGTTAAAGTAACTCCTGCTATGCCACTGGGCAAGCTAATGACTTACCACCTAGCTGGATATCGCTTTTTTTCTCCCCAATCTGTCAATTTGTCAACATGCCACTGTTATGCTTTAGAAAGTACAAATAAATATTTGTAAGTTTATCCAATATCTGTCTGCAGGCAAGGGCAAAGCAGAACTGTCAAGCAATTCAGGTCTTGTAGGGAAGAGAAAGGCGAGTGCTGTTCTCTAACGGTAGAGCACAGAATCTCCACTTCAGGAGCAGAAAGCAATAATTGCATGGTTTTAAACAATGGTTTAGTTAAGTCTCTAGAGGTTTTATACACCTTCCTTTCAGAAGGAACCAAACTATTTTTCAAACAGATGATTACAGACTAAACACTACTTCAAATACTTCAACAAGCATACACACTACGTGTCCTGGGTCCAGCTAGGATAGGGTTA